CAGTTTGCCTGTAATTGACATAGTGCAGACTGTTTGTGTTGTTGCAGTGCTCTGCCACCTCCCATCAGCTTTCCCAAATATACTACCTCATATGTAACATTTGGAGAATGTTTTGAAGTGAAGTAGTAAATATTGCCATTCTGTTTGAAAATAAAGGCTTGTCCTTTAATATAGGGGCCCTTCAGATATAGGTGGTTCCTGATTGTTATCAATTCTCAGGATTCCCATGGTTGGCTGTGGTTTACATCTTACAGAATAAAAGTGTCAGAACTTAGGTTTCCTCCCAAACTTTACTGGGGAAATACTGTTTGATGTTCTGTCCCCCTCATGTGCTGTGACTTCACAAAGTACAGTGTATAGATTGACTGGAATGGCTTCACTCCCATAGGGTCTTGTGTTCAGACAATATGCCTTGATCAAAAGTTAGTGGTAACCATAGTAACCCACCTTTCCTTCATTGACCTTCACTTTTGGCAGCTGTTGTCATTATGAGAAGGTGGTACAATTTTTACCTTTTGTACCAGAAATACCCCTTGGTTAACATTTGGTGGGAAGGTTAGTAGGATGATCTGTTCCTTTATGTAGTTATACTCGATTTTAATTGGAAAAATGATTACGGCTATGTTCAATGCTAGTCGTATTTAGGAATGTGTGATATTAAGTCAGTTTAATTTAATCCAGTAACAAAGTCAATGGAATGTATAAATTAGTATGTATTTACATCAGAACGGTATGCTAAATGCACCATGCTTGACCTTATCTGGAACCCAAGGACAGTTAGTGCAGCCAATTAGTCTTGAGTGACAGTATTGTCACTGCCTGAGAAAGGCATCTCAAATCAAATTCCCCTCATCCATACTAATTGCCTGGAGTTGCTGTGAAATGAGTTCATACTTATAGGTAAAATAACAGTGGTATTTGCTCACTTAGACCCTGACCAGAAAGGTGGTTAAGACCAAGAGAATCATAACAGTTCTATTTACTGTTTTGTTAACCTGCAGTGGCAAGGTGCTTGGCACTGCCCCAGGCTTGGTGAAGCATCATTGACTGCTAAACTTACACATTCTAAACATCTTTACAAATGGGCAATTATCTACTAATCTGGGCTGACTTTCACACACTGTCAGTTACACGGTATTATCAGTGTCTCGCCAGTATTACACCAGATACAGTCTGTGATACTGTCAATACAACACACATCCAGCTCACTCTTCATTTCCGCTCATCCTTCTCCTCTGTCAGATGGGATGTGTTTCCTTTCATCCTCGTTAACCATTAGTTATAAATATTACGATATTCTTTCTTCCTCAGATTTATTTCTTGTTGCTTAAGAAGTATGTATTTGTTAGTACAAACATTTATCATACAGATACTGTTGTTTGGAAACTTTTTCTTGTTTATTATATATAAACCTTATCAGTCAAAAAATTGTCTTGTTTTTCTGTTGAAACTATAAAGCAAATATTATGCTTTCCAGATTAGATAACTGAAAGGGTTCTATACTGGAAATGTGTTTTACTTTATGTTAGGTTGTGTCATGTACTGCTACTGGTAGCACAATGAAGTACAATTAAGGGTCACATGAAAACTCCGTGTTAACACAAGAAAGCTTGACCAGTAGTACTAAAAAGCTCATTTTCATACCATATTGAAGCACTGGTACCAGAAAGCTCACTCCGAGGTCTTGAAGAAGTTAACTATAGTAGCACAATAGAACTCGTGCCACGGTCACATGGAAGTTGACCTGTAGCACAAGAGAGCTCGCTTCAAGGTCACATGGAAATTTCCTGGCATGATGTAAGCAATCTCACTCTGTGTTAGAGTTCACCAATACATGAATTCACTTAAAAGAATTAAATCAGATGTCAGACTGTCACTTAAAGGAAGATGAGGAGGAAATATCAAAATGTTAACAGCTTGTAACTTGGTATTCTGTGTGGTAATATGGTAATTTTATCTTGGAAATATAGATATATCACTCTAACAATACAAAGTACCTACAATAAGTGTATTGGAACCATTGGTCAGTAATGGCTAACTACTACCATATGTTATCAAGGTCATCCTGCCATGGGGATTAATTATCACTTACTTAGGGTGGAAGCTAACAGGACTTTGGTTATATATGGTAATTTTTGTTAATGACTTGCTGTGTTATTGTGTGTGTTGGCTTGACCAACCAGGAGAGGTTGTATGGTCAACTTAAAGGTGATTTAGAGGTCACTAGTACTATTATCACTGGCCTTGGTAAGGATGAAGAATAACCATCATCATTGTTACACATTGCAGGTTATGATATTTTAGATCAGTCCCATATTGTCCTGACAGTTTCATGCTAATGAATGTGATGGATGATGGAGAAGCTGATAGTTTCCCTGGTGTGTAACTGGTGATACCTACACCCCCAATCATAATGTGGTGGCATGTAAGTGGTTCAAGGTGCCAACAAGGATAACCTTGACACAGCCACAAATTATAAGTCTCATATACACTCATCAATAACATGCAACTTTTCTTTTTTTTAAGGTTTTTTTCTTTCTGCTTAACTTGATAAAATGCCATATCATGATTCTGTGTAACAAATACTGGCAACACTAATGTTTGAATGGGTCATAGTTAACGAGCTGGAATCATCTCCATACAGAATTCAAAACAATGTGTCGTATTCATCAATAATGATGTTGGTATTGTGTTGTAAATGATGAGGATTTATTTAGGAATCTGGCCATGTTGTTGTGTTGATGTTGGAATGTGTCTGAATCTGGTAGCATTTAGTGACTGTCTACGTAATGCTAGACCATCCATGTGTGGTACTGTCTCCACTTACAGGGTTGTCCCTGATTCATTACTTCCTAGTCTCAGTATAGAGGGTCAAAACTAAGTTGGTGTGTGGACAAGACCCTCTACACTGTGTTTATTGTGTAACCTTTCATTATATTGTTAAACTGTAATTTACTGTACATTGGGATAATACTCGTAATGAATTGGGGTGAAACCACATCAAAAGATGTGACTGTCCGATGATTTTTAGTTATGTCGAGATGGTGAGGTACATGTTTATATCATTTTACCAACAACTTTTCTGTGAGAGCAAACGTCTAAGTCAGAATGTATCCTGTAATAAAGGTTAGAGAACACTCTGTAAATACCTAGTTGGTTTGGAATATTTTTAATTCCATTAATCTGTGGAGGAGGTTATAAGGAAGTATCAGGGTAATGTACAAAGCTTATGTTGAAGTGGTTTGGTGGGGAGGGAGTTGTTTTAATGGATAAACACTAGCATCTGTTTACCTCAAGGGCCCTGCTGACATCAAGGCCTGCTATCACAGTCACACATCACAACCATGCTTTAAGTCAATATTTGCTGTTTTCAAAACAAGAAATTGGTTATGTAATAACACTCCAAAGGTTAACTTATTTAATATACTGATTTATCTCTTCCTGATGTTGTGCTAAAAAGAACACGTCTGTGATGACTAAGGTTGATTGCATTTATTAAGGGATTGTACACACTGGAGAATAGTTCCTTTCAATACTAGTTCAGAATTGGACACAGTAGAGCCAGATAATGAATTATACTGCATCATAAGCTGTTTTGTACTTTTCTAAGACTTGTCAGTAATGCTAGGGACATATATATTTACGGAACTTTACTGCATCATCAGCTGTTTTGTACTTTTCTAAGACTTGTCAGTAATGCTAGGGACATATATATTTACGGAACTCTTTTTCTAAGACTTGTCAGTAATGCTAGGGACATATATATTTACGGAACTCTTTTTCTAAGACTTGTCAGTAATGCTAGGGACATATATATTTACGGAACTTAACGAAAACTCTAGATCTCCTGTATATATCACTATTAATTTATTTAGATTTTAATGGCTTAATATTGACTGTTATAATGAATAGATAGTATGAACATGTATAATTGATATAATGTTGTCATGGTGTTATTAGTCAGCCTGATATATCGGAAAGGAAATTAATTTTACACTATAGTAACTACAAGGGTATGATCACCTTTGATTGAACTATCAGTAGATAGTAAATACCTTCAAATCTAGGTGTGACAAGGTGGTTACAGTAGAGAGAAACTTTGTCCAAATACATGTATCAGAAACTCGGAAACAGAAGCATTACTTTAGATATGAAATTAAATTCTTCAAATTAACCAGATGAAATAAACATATTTTATGTGATGTAACCACAACTAGTTGATCCTCAGATCAACAACAATTTTTTTCTTTTTAAAAAATGAAAGGGATATTTATTCTGGATAAATGTAAAATTCTTAACATCAGCATAGAAAAATTGAAGACCTACTTAAAGGATTTTTAAAACCTGTTCCTGGCGCAAAGTATTTTTAGAAATGTCATTGTGAAATAATTGTCCTTGTTGTGTATAGTTATAATATTTATTTAATCGAGTCAACAAGTGAATCTTGGTACTCGTAGTGGTATATACCAGTCAATGTCAGTCACCGACACACATTCTTATTTACAAAGAATTCTATTTTATAAAGTCTACTTGATCCTGTAATGTAATATAGGTTAGTCCCAATTTTGGATTTTGTCCAACACATCCGCATTGAAGGTGACCCTTGGGTTATCATGTGTGGCCCTGTTGACAGCGCTTTACACTTCACTGTTGTACATTCACCCCAAATGTTTTATCTATATGGGGAAACTGATTCATTAAAACGTTATCAGTTTATAGGTTTTCATAAACACATTTAGTTATATAGATTAAAAGAAAAATATCACTTTTTACCTTTTCATCTTGATTTTTATGACAAAGAGTCAAGATTTCAGTTGAGAACCACCAGTATCATATTTTCAGACCGGCATAACTTGCATATGATGCATTGGTATTGTTTTCATTGTTTAGTTGAGACATTTATGATTCACATATAAATTTTTCATTAATTTTCAGCTGAAACTATTGCCCAAAATTTTAATTTTTAATGGGATAATTAAAAATATGGTTTGTTCTTTCAGTGGATGCTTGTGAGCAGCAGAGCAAACATGGCAGACAAGCAGCTGCAGAGGCACTTCTTAGTATGGACTCTCCCAGTACCAACTCAGAGAGTAAAACATTTCTCCAAGGAATTTTACAGCAAAATCCAAACACAGGTACATATTGTATACTTAATTATTAGCTTGAACATATGTACTTGTACATGTGACAAATGAAGAATATTATCTGCAAACATTATATCATTTATTGATAACATCACTCACTCACTTGATTGTGACAAGTTTAGTTACTGATGATGAAAAGATTTTCTTGTTTAGATAAGGAGATGCACTTATTTTTGGGATACATACATTTAGAAGATTTACATCCCTACCTTGTTCTGCCAACATTTTTGTGGGTTCTAATATACTGTGTTTTCTGATGCATCGTAATAACATTCTCATAATTCTGGTACCCAGGATTAGTCTACATTGTATTGGGGCCTTTCCAACATGATTACTTTGAAACATGTTTTGGAGGTTTCTATAGTAACATGCTGATATTGTAGCCGCTAAATGTCTTATGACATGCGGTTGGATGAGCCTGTCATCTGGCCGCTGATATTTACAATAATGATGAGATATTGACAGTAGATCATAGTGTCCATTCCTGTTATGTTATATATATTAACTCTATATCAGCTTACATGCATGTGTTCACGACACTTTTTGATGTATATCTCAGACCAGTTGGAACAGCTTAAGTGAAAAAATGGAACTTTTACAAACATGATACATGTTTTTCATGTTTCTCTTTTTTCATATACACACTTGAAAGATATAAATACATTAAGCTGAGAATTGAAGGAACTTGATATAATTCTGTATGTAACAGATGAAAGGATATAAGAATACAAAAAAAATATAAAAGGTGCAGAGTTTTAGATTTACATGTGATAATTTTTTATACAATCAGACCAATTGTGATTAGGCAAAATTTAAAAATAGTACAAGTTTATCACGGTTGGTCAAAAGGTTGATATATACTTTAAGCTTGGCCAAGATCTCTAATTGCATGGCAACCAAGATGTGTGTACTTATAGGTAACAGGCCACCAAATAAAACCAAATGGGAAGTTAAGTGTTTAGCATGGCTGGTGAGGGAATTAGAATAAAAAGGAGATTCTGATAAAATAAATGGTGTCTGCTTTGTTCCATTTAACGGCAATGGTGGGATTATCAGACAGAAATGTCGGAGGTAACAAAGCGTTACCAGTATTTAATCGGCACTACCTACGGGGTTTACCTTACACACCTTATCAACCATGCAGGCTTATTGGGGTAGCGATAACACTGCTTTTCCACATGACTGCTTCTCACGAAACACGGAAATACACTAGTACAAAAGATTCCTCATGTGATCGTATAGAAGAAGTGTGTCACGCATGCTATTGTGTAATTTTATTTCTGATCTTGTTGGAGTGAAGAAATTCATTATCTGATCAAATCCACCAAGATCTGTTCCTCAAGATTACTGTTTTTTCTGACCCCAATTTTTCAATTGCATTTAAAAGCAGAGATAGCAAGTCTAATACAGTTTCCTGGTTGTTAGTTCTTATCAGCTCTATAGATTTAACACGTTCTTTTTTGGGGATGTTTTTTATCAAGGAACTGCTTCCTTACACGATAAGATACTCTCTCCCAGAAGTTAAAATGTTTCTACATTTATCAGCTTGACTAGCAGATAAAGTATCGGTACCTAGGAGATGTAACAAACCACATGGACTTGTTTGACATTTGTGTTAGGATCAGAAGAGACCACAGTAATCCAAGTACATGTGGTTGTGCTTCTGCTCCAGAATAAGTCTGTAATAAAACAACTCCATTTTCTTATATTGGTTGTAAAAACACTTGCTTCATTTTAATTCTTAGCCAAAATTTTATTACATTAATTCAGAAATAAGGCATTTGATTTAGCTTAACCTCACAAACAGAAACTTGTGTGACGATTCATAGCCCTGAAAAGAATGTAGCTAATCAATTATATTTAAATTAACGCTTTAAATTGAATGATATTTCAATATGATTAAGCATGAGGTAGGTACACCTTGAGTGACCCTATGATTCGATGACATCATCTTTTTATGACCTTGGTTAGTATGACCTTGGCTGTTAATCAAAGAATGAGAGAATGACTCCAAACAACAAATGTAGAAACAAATATAGCAATTCCAGAGGACGATTATCAGTTCTGTTTTGTTCTGTTCAAAGAGATCTGAACACAGGGTGCTAGAACAATAATGTTGATGGTTGAACACAGGGTGCTAGAACATTTATGTTGATGGTTGAACACAGGGTGCTAGAACATTTATGTTGATGGTTGAACACAGGGTGCTAGAACATTTATGTTGATGGTTGAACACAGGGTGCTAGAACATTTAACATTGCAATATATTTATTCATGTGTATACTTGTATCTGAAAATTTCAACAACAAAAAATGATAATGTTACAATGGAAAAAAGAACATTTTGGAGCCTGTTAAAAGAACTGTATTGTTTTGAAATCAATAGACGATAGCAATAGAAACAAATTTTATCTGTAAGGAATCAGGATATGTTTTAGGTTTGAATTTTTTTAGATTGCTTGTCCAAAACAAATCTATAGTATGTGTCTTTTTAATCATAACACAGAATTACTCATGTATGTCTCTTTTTAATCATAACACAGAATTACTCAATAGGGCAATGGATAAAAGTTAGTATTTATTTTTGCAGCACTGCCACCAAGTCCAGCAGACACAGACAGTGGTACTGATAGTGGCATCTCAGAACCAGAAAGTAGTAATCTGGAGGACAAGGCAAGAATTCTGGGTTTGACAGATGCTTACACATCAGGTAAGTCTTTCACTTGATACACAATTGTGTAAATACCTGGTAAATATTAAGGAATACATTTATGTACATGATTTTAGTGGTAATGTTCCCGTTCTTTGTTATTTGTCTCCTTACTGAGGACTATCGAATGCCATCAGGAACCCTCAGTTTGGATCCCTACTGCCGCCATAGATCCCATCTCCTTGTAGGAATATTGAGCCACTAAATCCTCAGCTGTTAAAGAGAGAAATCAGCTGTCACATGCTATAATCTCACATTAATGGCAGTAAGCTTGTATTTTGGGAAAGCTTTATCCCTTGAGTGCATGCGTACTGTGAAGTTATAAATCTGAAAGTTCCATTAACATTCACTACACCACAACTTATTGTTATAACATTGTATGCTATGTATTATTTCTCCTAATAGTGCTCAGGTACTAGGATATCATTGATATGATATTTGCTAAGTTTGGAAGAATAACCTTTTGATTCCATTTTATAAGTTTGTTATTGATTTCTATGACAGTATTTAACTTGAAAAGTAGTCATTGATTAACATTCTTAAAATGACAAAAGATTTCAGAATATATTTTCAATATTGATTCCCAAATATAGTAGAAAGGGTATTCATGAGAGAAATACAGAAGTATTGACTCTGATACACTTACACAACCTTGAGAGACAACTACCTAGCACTATGTGTGGCGGTTAGTATTGTTATTCTATATAATGCATGGAAGAATGATTTGCAGTTTTACAGTAAAGGTGAACAGAATATTCCTACGTCTTTGAGCTGGTTACAAAGCTCTTTAACTATTGTGGTTATAGCTGGGAGTTGACTCCATACACCTTAGCTCTGTATTGTTATGTATCAACTGTCATAGCATTGTCTTTGTAATTTCAAGTGTATACCACTAATCATTTTTAAAATTCCATGAATTAAATGACATGGAAAACCTTAATTTATCTTCTTACGAAGATCTGTGTTTCATGACGTGATCCGATCTGTTTTAAGTCAAGTCTTTCAATATATAGACTAGAGAGGTGAGTTCTGAGACCAGCAATGACATCATGAGTACACTGCACTGCTTTGATATGTTGGGAGATTTTGTTGTTTAATGTAAACTGTGGTGTATATGGAACTTAATCACAATTTTATTGGGATCATCTTTTAGATTTCTAGTCAGATTTTGTAGTCATTATGTCCTACAGTTTCTTTGTCCCATGTACAGTATTCTATTATCAACCAAAGTACTTTACATGAGGTTACATGACCTTTGTACATTTTATCAGGCATTGTTTGTGACAATAGCAGAATTTTAACGTGATGATTAGATATAGACTGGTAATATTAGATAAGGACCAGACTATTATTTCCCTAGGTCCTTAAAATTCATCCTGTTAAATACATTCCTGGTGTATTGAGTGTAAATATATGAGTTAGAGGTGAATAAACTTAATATTCCAATGGATACAAACAGTGATAAGGTCTGTAAACTAGCATGTCAGTCACAGACTTCTCTCAACAGACAGTTCCTTAGAAAAATGTCAACTTTTACAGATAAGGATAGCCCTGTGATTGCTTGTTTCCATTATATTTTTAAGTGCAGTTTAGTGCACATACAGAAAATACAACACAATCCTTGAATATCTCTTGCAAGTTATTAAATATATGTTGTCCTTTTTTCCAGCGTTTTTAGGGAACATTCCCAGGTCATCTCCAGGGCCGTTCATCCCTCCCTATTGTCAACAGGGGCCACCAGCTCAGTCCATCCAACCCCCTCCAGCTCATCAACCACTCCCAGCACACTTCAACACAGCCACACATGTGGCCATGAGACCAGGTAAATATAAACTACCAGGGGCAGATAACTCCAAATAATCAAGCAGCCCCATGTTTATGAATGTTGTAGATGAGTGTTAGGAATGTAAAAATCAATACGTGACTAGTTGCCATCATAAAAGGAATTCTTTTCGGACATTGATTAAGTGTTGTGAAATCCTCATTTGCTATGGGTAGGGAAGGAAAGATTAAAACAACTAGAACACATGAAGCAGCATAAAACTGTTTATAATAACATTACTAGGTCATTTTCATTGTGACATACATGGTAGCATGAGGTCCGAACATTCCACTGAATATTTGATACAGGTCAATGTTCTAAATTATGGAAATCAGTTGGTATAGAACAGGAATGACCTCCCTGACCAGGCCCAAGTGTTTACCTTGTTGTTCTTCTCAATTCTACTCCCCTGAGAGTCTGATATAGACACCAACAGCCACTGCTGAATGTCCCCCTACATCTCCATGTGATTTATATGAGGTAATTTCTGAAGATTGTGGATCTTTTGGGAGCATGAAACTGCCTAGGTCTAGACGATCAAATATGATTATTAGTTGGCACTTTCTCTTTACCTCCTGTAAAATGGTGAATATCTTTTATGAATCTTCCATCTATCACTTCCCATTAGCTTAGCCATGGGCTTTCAGGTCCAGTTAAAATGATTTTCATGCGATGTACTCCTTAATCAAGGGTATATATAGTGAGTGAATAGTTACAGGCTGTGGTCTTATTGACAGGTCTCATGTCCCTATGGCAGCATTTCAAAGACATTATCTCATTCTTTTTTCTTTAAATGATAGGTTATGATCCAAAATTGGCTTAAATGGTGTTTTTTCATGACTAGATAGACTTAAGTTTGGACTCTGGAGGTGTAAAAAAGTCTTTTCTGGCCTGACTTGGACACTTGAAAGAGTACCCAGAAGTCTCGTATCACCATGTTTAGATTGCATTAGCGGTGGCTAGTGTGCAAATCATCTGTTATCAGGACAATAATTGCTGGGCGTCCAATCTCTCGAGATATTAACTCAACATTACTCTTTCCTATTTGCTTTTGGCTGTATATTTTTCATAATGTCACCAATACCAATCTTAAAATCTTCCCTAAATATTTGTCCACATCTGCCAAAGCTGGTACGTATACATTCCGATGTTTCACTAGGAAATACAATTGTAGTGGGTAATGATATTTCAGTAAGAAATAAAGGCTGCTTGCACTGACAATGGTTTGAAGTATTATTGTGTATATTCTTTTTTGAACTGTATTCCCTGCTGAGCTTGTGCTTCCCCACATTTTGACTATTGTCCAACAGTAGGCATGCATGCTTGATATTTTTATCAATAATCTCCATGTTTGAAACAGACCAGATCTTGCTGGGCTGACACTGCCTCGTATTCCTCATATTTCGAAGCTTTTTTTGACATATATATATCATTGGTTTTAGAAACATTTTAAATATGTAACTTGTGTTAGAAACATTTCAAATGTGTAACTTTTATTGATAAATACATACATTTCAAGGTTGAGTTCACCTGTAAGTCTGGATTTAAACAGATAGGACATTTTCATTGAAAAATTTAATAATTTATGAAAACTTCAGATAGGTACTTTTTCTTTTGATTTTAATCAAGTAATTATATTTACCTACCGAGGTCAGCAGTTTGATATACCAGAATGTTTTTGATAACAAACTGTTTACAAGAAGGAATATACTTCTTTAAAAATATGTTTATCTTGACAGGCTGGTAGATTGGGTTATCAAAACATAGAACAAGGTGTTGAGTTGCATAGTGTAGAATATATATCAAAATATTTGCTATGAAATAATTTTTTGCTAAAGTAACCGGTAAATTGTGCAAAATGAAATGAAAATATGATATAACTTGTAACTGTGTAGTTTTGTGTGTACAAAGTTAGATATGTAGGATGTTATTTACAAAGTGTTTTTATCCTGAAGGAGGAAATGTTTGTTGGGTGGTCACATGTTCTTGTCAGATTTAGGGATGTCAGGTTTATGTGTGTTTGACCAGAAGTCGGTGTATATTCTGAACCCTATTCAGGTCAAGAGGTCTTGGATAAGATAGGACCCTGTGACTAAAAGGATATCTTTCTTTAACAGCACTGTAATCTATGGGGCCACTTGAGGTTAGGTTAGCCTGGCAACATGTCCCTCTAACTGGTCAGTTTGTACAAATTACAAACCCTGGCACCCACTGAAACAATACAAAAGTCATAGTACAGAAAACAATCGATGTGTGGCCAAATTTATTTATAAAAAGAACTTGAGTTGAGTTACTTAACCTACATGTACAATTACAAGTGTGTTAGATTACAAGTGTTATAGTAGCGTCAAAGAGCACAGAAGCCCAAGTGGACTTTGTAGTTTAAATTTGTGACAAGTATATCTATGTGTTGGATGTGTCATAGTGCATCATCAGAAGTTGTTCATCTCATAAATAGTAAATACAATATTTTCCCTGTCACATGAACCTTTGAGATTTCAAACTTAAGTTTTTATATCAAGACCTGTTATTGCAGGCGGATATATGCACTTTAATTTAGATTGATGCAAGTAAGATATGCATGTTGGGGGATGTCAGTGCTGGACTGTTGTACCACTCTTCACTTCGGTCAAGGCTAGTAATGCAGACACAGAGTCGCCAACAATGAAACCCACAGGCCATGATTGTCTTCACATCCTTTCTAACTTCCTTGTTTCCTGTTATAAACTATGTCAATAGCTTACGGAAGACATTTTTGTCCTCTTGCCATGATGATGAAAGTGTTTCTGTGAAAGTGCGGAAATATACAAATCTTGGCTGAACAATGTCAACACCCAATTAATCCCTTTGTTTTTGTTAATCTCACTAATAATGTATGTTGTATAGTTTGTAAAATCTGATTTCTGAATATCTGTTTTATATGGTGCTTGTGACAGATTACCTTTCCATTAGAGTTACTGAATGATGTGAGGATTGGAGACTGACAAAGGTGTTTGGTTTGTTTCAGATCATGTGTACCCATCCAGTCCAATGTTATCCTCCCCCATCAGTCTACATCCCTCCCTCGACTCTGGCAGTCTGTCGCCAACAACCCCACCATCATCGCCTATCCGACACAAGAGTAGAAAAGGTCAGTATCTCCCTTACATACCTTTAACCTGTCTGTCAAGCCCCACCTTCTTCCGTTTATACCGCAATGCAGATTGATGATGATTTTTGTCGTTTGATGAGCTTAAGGATAGTAAGACAGAGGTCCTAGGTTCAAAACCTAGCAGAGCCATTGAAATCAATAATGGTTTCTGTTACACTTTTCTAGGGCTATATATAGCAATATAGGGATAATTTATGAGTTCCTTGGAGACTCCTCATAACTTTGGTCGAGAGGCAACAAATCTAACAAAACATCTGTCATTTTTCAACTTCAATTTGTTCATGTCAGAACAGTGATGATCATTTTATTTTTTTATCAGCTTATCAAGGTAGAAATTGCCCAGTGCACTCTAAGTTTATCACTGAATCCAGATTAAAACCCAACATATACTCTGACCCATTTCCGTCAGGATGTATATACAGCCAATGAAAAATAGGCTATTTCTGTATTTAAATGAATTTGTTTCCTGTTGAGACTCTTGAGATTTTAGGCTGCAGATTTACTAGTGAGAAATGTAACTATAAAATCTGTTCTTGACGCCCTCCCTGTCAACAGTTCCCATACCAGTGGTATATCATTCCTCTTTTCATATCTAACATAGTCAACTTTTATTTGAAATCTCATTCCACCAAAATCATAACACTGTGATAGTAAACATTTGTTCTTTTAAATCACAATACCATGATCCACCAGCAACAGTGTTCACAAAAAAAATGAGACATTTTGTTGGTAAAAGTGTTTACATTGAACTTCTGACATTTAAATCATCTCCGACTTTTCTGGAATTATTTAAATGTATTAAGATTAAATTCAAATGGGCCGTGATAAGATTGGTGGCGATAGTTTAATCACATGACCTGTGGTAACATCTTCTTGTTTATCTCTGTGGACCTGTATACAAATGCTTAAGGCAAATTCTCCTGTTTTCTGATTATGGACACAATCAAAAATATATGATAGTTTTGCATAGATCGAGAAAATTAGATAACTGGTAGAAAAGCTCAGTTAATTACATAAGATAATAAAAAAGTAAAATTAGGATTCAATGTTTCACCAGTAATAACTTGACTCCTACATGATGCAGTACTTCAATTTACATCCAAATGACTAGCAGCGAGAAAATAAACACATGCCAATCGATGCAGTGTAGAAGCTAAATATACAGGTCGTACATCAGTACAGAGAGTAATGGCAGATCATCAGCAACTTTACGAGTGTTTGAATACTAGTAACATGACAATAATAGCATTAAGTCTCTTATCACCACTGTTACCTTGCTACCCAGGCATCGTAAATCTCACAGATTCACTTTGTTTGATAAGCAAGTATTGAACCAACATTTTAATGTCGTCTATCTTAAGTTGACTGATGGTTATATATCCGTGATTTCTGTCAGTATTGTTTTGAGGGTTAATCACACCGAACCATATTTCAGCTGTGTATTACTAATTAAGTAGCTTTTATCTATGATCAGGAGTCAGGACTGCATTCCTATCATTTAATGGATTAAAACCACTTAAATGTTGACTTGAAATGATGAGACTTACACAAAACCTTTGCCACTCCCTTTAAAATCTTGTACATGTAAAATTGCTGCAGAAAAGCAGAGAGGTTGACACAAAGATTTGAGGACAGCAATAAAATGTGTGATTGTGAGAGATGGATATGTTATCTGAGAGGGTTTCCACTTCATATCCAAGTACCAAAAAAACTCACTGCCTCTACTATAAAGCATTATTTGCTAGTTTTTTCCTCACTTCCAATCTCCAACTATCATTATCTTCAGCTGAAATAGCTTTACGACTGTGTACTCTGTTGAGATACAGTTTTTTGGCTACAATATTCCTCGTAAATTCTCACTGTCCTTTTTCATGGAAGTTGGTTTTCCTTGTTTTGTGGGACATTTGTTGCACATAACATGCCTTTGAAGAGGGTATTAGTAGTAGTGGTTATCTTGTGATTGGTTACTACCAAGTGATACGTTCCATCGAGTTCCTGCTGTCAAAAGCAGAGACAATTGACAACAACTGCTGCCCTCTCTTTGACAAACACAAACACACGGCAAAAAACAAAGGGTTGAATGTGTGAGGGGAAAGACGCCTTGACCTTTTCAGAGGTCAAACTTAAGATGAAAAACTAGCAATGGTCCTCAGCCTGTTTGATATAAATAATCTAAATTGGTTCTACTTCTCATGATGAAAGCGATTTTATGTGTAATTCCCTGTTAGTGTCATGTCTTATCATTTGTACTACAGAGAGAAATACAACATTACTCTATGCCAGACAAAACACAATAGAGGCTTAATTTGTACAATTTCCCTTTATACAACACACAATATTGCACATTTTCATGCGGAACACACACTAGATGTATGATAGAGTGATGAGAATACTTTCACATTAGAGGTGACGAGACATGTAATAAAGGACCTTGGCAGGGAATCAAAGCTGACATGGAAACCCAGTCCTCATGTTTTGAGGAATCAATCATTACAGTTATGACACATCACTTGATTTTTCACGTCTTGTCACACCAACACACGAAAGGTCACACCCTGCCCTACTTCTCTGATTGCACTTGTAGAAGGGTTGGCCAGCTATTCACACTGTCATGGGATACTCATTTTCTTTTAAAAGCAGCTATTACATTTTTAGGGTTTGGTTTTGTTTTAACTACAGTTTTTTTTTACTTTCATTGCTTTGCCACTTGCAAACTACAAAAAACCTTTGGAATGTTCAATGATAAATTTTTGTTTTTTTTTTTTTTTAAATTATTTTTTTCTTTTATTGTTTTTGCAGGTCGCAAACCAAAAAATCCCTTGGAATGTCCTATAAATCAGCCTAAACGAAAAAGAGAAAGTAAGTATCATGTAACATTTCCTGCTAGCCCATTTAAACAACCCTTAGTGTAGGCATTCCTGATTCTGATCGTCCTTGTTCTAAAGGATCGTCAAAGTCCCCCAAAAATTGTCTCTAATAGAAACTTGGCCACAACTACAATGAAGCCTCAGAATAATTTTGTAATTTAATGGAAGACTAAAGCACGCACAGAATCACAGACAGTTGTTTGTCATAGGAGCTGCTAACAATATTAATAAAATGGCAACATGAGCACGGGTATTTTCTGCTACCTGTAATACATACTGGGCTGCCATTGGGAGGCAGCTCAGGCTCCAGGAACATCCAATTGTCTACAAATATGACCCTCAGGTTTCTCATCAAAGACATTTTTCGTATGAAATTTCTCCTTTGTGAGCATCCGAAATTGTGTGTGTGGCGTTTTAATAAGACTTGTTAATATTGGGCAGACACAACTTTTGAAAATTTCCTTTTCGCTTGCAATTGTGCTTTGTAGCGGTTGCCAACTTGATGTGATGGATGTAATTGTGTCAATAGGCTTGAGTGAGGTGGGCATTGTTTGGATATAATTCTTTATTTGACAAGAGCTTACAAATGTCTTAATAAGTCCTTTATCCACTAATTACAGGTGGCTGACTTCATCTGTAACACATGATTCTGCTTATCACAACCAGGCATCTCTTTGATAATGTTGTCCCTGAAGTTTTTGTGAAGACTCTTGAATACACAGTAGTCTTTTTTTTCTCTCAACTGTTTCCCATTAATTTTATAGTGTATGAGATTAGACCAGTGTCTAGGCACGCTGATACATACCATGCTCTCTTTTGTGTACAATTATCACTTTCCAATCAAACCCCATTACGATCCAGATGTGATTTAACTTGCGCGCATCATTATTTTTGTATTTACACAAGACATGCAAAGGCGTACAAAAAACAATCCAAAATTAAAGCCAGTTATGTCGTCTGACTGCACCGTCTGAACTAGCTAGCTGATCACTGGCACCCCTTGTGTTTAAAGAGTGCCTTTTGACAGATTTTGGCACAAACTGTTTGTAGCACCTGTTGTCCATTAGCTTTATCTTATAAAGGAACTTGTAAAGAGGTTTCTAATATGGAGAAATGAGAATGTGCGTCCCTGGCTGTTTGACAATAAAGTTTACATTGTTTTTTGTTGTTTTTTTTCCCCACCCCATTTCAAATGATATATTTGTATGTGTATAGTCAGCTGGTATAATGTTGATTGAAGTTTTATAACAGACTCAAACAGATTTGTTTGCTGAAGATATGTTACTATTTGAATTTAATCTTTTTTGGTAACAGGTGTAGAAGTAATTATAAAATAATTAGAAATAGTCTATCTTTTTACCTGGCTTCATTACACATGAGAGTGTAGGACTGTGATGAGTTAAACAAGAATCAGCATGCGATGGCACTTTGGATGTTACATTGATATTCAGGGTCATTGACTTAAGCAATGTGTTGATAAATTAACAAATGTTGTCTTATTGAAAAAAATTTAACTCTCTTTCCTTAAATGCTTGTTTTTCTATAACAGATTGATGTTTTGTTATGTCATTTTCTCATTGTCCTTGAAAGACTCGAATAATATGACACAATTTTCTTTTTTTTTACAGGTAGTACAACATACTTGTGGGAATTCCTTTTACAACTGCTTCAAAACAGAGAGACTTGCCCAAGATATATTAAATGGGCCGACCGTGAAAGAGGAATCTTCAAGCTGGTCGACTCAAAGGCTGTGTCTAAGCTTTGGGGATTACACAAAAACAAGCCAGATATGAATTACGAAACAATGGGAAGAGCATTGAGGTAGGACGCACTTGCTTTTATTTATTTGTTGACTTGGACAGAGTTGTCATGTTAGATTATTATACAAGATTCCTAGTATGTCAAACTACAGCCAAGTACAAACCACAGCTGAGTGCTTAAGTGCATCCCTCTGATAATTGCCACTTTTGTAGATATAGACTTGTAGAGGAGAGATTTTGTCATGATGCAGGCCTTCTGTGATGTGTGGTGCATGCTGCATGCTTAATTTATTTAGATCTTTCTGTACTTGACATTAATAAAAGTTACCTCGATTAGATGATTTTGTGTCGTTAATGTATGGCAATGGTGATCACCATGCTTGTGTGTTTCTTGTGTCCTATCTTGTTCTTCATGTGTGGTATAATTAGACAAATCGTTGATGTTGTAATTAACGTTAATGTACCACACACCCTCACAGCTACTGTGGGCAAAAATACCCTCTTTAATTTATCTTTTATCTATCATGCTAAATTTTAGATGGCTTACATGTTTTACCTGTCCTGTCTGTGATAGTTTTACCTGTAATTTACACTCCCCTGTACCATACACTTACCTGTAACATACCCTTACCTGTAATTAACACTCCCCTGTAACATACACTTACCTGTAATTAACACTCCCCTGTAACATACACTTACCTGTATCATACATTTACCTGTAACATCCACTCACCTGTAAAATATACCTAAATGTAACATACATGTACCTCTAACTTACCTGTAACATACACTCATCTGTAACAAACATATACCTGTAACTTGATGTTTCTAAGTTGTTCTAAGCCTGTGTTATTGGTATGTGTATTTTTATATATGTATGACAATAGATAATTTCATTATAGACTGTTGTAGTGACATATAGTGGTTCTCAGTTTAATATATAATAACAATGTTGTATATAATCGACATATTATTTGAAGCCACTATCACTGTACGATGTGCAAATGTGTCTGGTGGATGTTTATTGATTCATATATTATGCACATAGAAATTCACAATTACACCAGGTTGTGAAAGGTGTGTTCTAACAATATGATTTAATAGTATTGTTATTCATTTCACATGGATTAAAACTGAGTTTTCTTGTACTCTTAAAATATTTCACATTTGTGATAATTTGTACATGTCACCAGGTATAAGAAAACGTATAGAAATGAAGTGTTTGTGATCTAGGATAATACTATTTACAGATACTACCATACATTAATCATGTATTCAGAACCTGTAATGTATTGTTTTATTTTAGGTATTATTATGCGAGAGGAATATTAAACAAGGTTGATGGGCAGCGGCTCGTGTACCAGTTTGCTGAAGTGCCGAAGTCTATTATAGAGATTGACTGTGGGAATGCCTGAGAGCCAAGACAGTACAACTGAATCTGCTCACAAACCGGATAGGGCTACAGGGCCAGCAATGGTCCTTAATCCCTGCCCCTCCTCTGCAATCACTTCGTGCCATAGCTCAGCTATAGACTCAATTATAACTCCCAGGAGTTGAGAAACACTGTCTTTTCGTGACAAGATTCCAGGTTATTTGAACCAGAATCTGAAAAGATTTCATACTTGTTTATTATGAAACTGAAAATGGCAAGGAAATTCATCTTGGACAGTTTGATAATTGCAGTTGTGTTTTCTTGGACCATCGTACAGTTTAGACTCAAGTGATTGTCTGGATTGATCAGCCATGATCAGTGTACTGGTGATACAAAGTGGCAGGACAGACTAAGAGAAATGGAACAAGACTAGGAAGGAATTCCATATTCATCAGTCAGTCGACTTAAAAAAAGATTCAGGGATGTTTGAATATAATGAATGTGTTCGAGTGGAAGTGTCTTGTGTGGGAAGTTTGTTTTTTGAGGAATGAATGAAAAACATATTGTTATGACTGAATGTTGTTGAAGAATGTTACAGATTTAAAAAAAAAAAAAATAATTGATTCAATATCATAATAATATTATTTGAGTGAAAGTTTTGTTTGTTTGTTTGTTTGTTTTTTTTTTTTTTTTTTTTTTTTTTAGAAAACATTAGATTTTTTTAATTGCATTGGGCTGGTGTGATTATTCCTTACATATAGGACCACTCCATAGACTTTGTCAAAACTACAATCATTCAACCCAGCAACCAGAAGTTGCGTCATGCAGACACAGACGTGCGTTGACAAGTATCAACATGACTAAGAGGACAACAGGAACTGCCTCATGCATGGTATAATGTTTTAGTGCTGAATTAGAAGAGGATACATTCCTTAAGCACACAAGTGCTGCTGATTTAAAACTAGACTCAAGTTTTCTTCATTTGATCATTCTTTGTTGATAAAGGGACAGTTTTATAACTGTCCATTTTAGTAGGGTGTGGCATGTCATAGTGCTTAGTTATCGGAACCAGTAAGATAAAACAACTTGAAAAAACAAGTAAATGTTCAGAATATCTGTTAAAGGTTTATATTCAGATCCTGTGTTCCTCATGCCATTATAAAATGATCGATAAAAACATGTTGTCAAAACAAAATCTTTGTTTGAATTGATAGATGGGTCTAACTTAGGGGAGGTCAGTTTACTTGAAACAAATGCTGGGAGAGTGTGCTTGAAGCCGAATTTGTTCCATTATAACTTTTTACCCAATTTAAACATTCCTGTTTCATACATAGCTTACCTGACATTGACCCACATAAAGTGTTCAAATAGCTGTTTTCACCTGTAGTCACGTGTTTATGACAGGTGGTGAGGATCCTGTGCGTTTTGGGCGTGTCTCTGCAAACCTGACTCATCTTACCTGGCTGTGTTTTACCTGTATCATGGTGAAACATAGTTTCTTTAGGTCTTCAGTTTAACTTTTAAAGTTTTTCTTATCCTAGATAATCAGAAACCTTACATGAAAGGACTTCAGTGATATGTAAAATTCTTCTAACAGAAATTGTTCATTAATGCTATGTACAGTGCTTTATAAAGACTGTACTAAGCAACTATTTCTTTAAAATGTGTTGTTTTTTTTTATTATTATCAAGCTAACAAGGTACTGAAAAGTTATACCTTGAAGTTAGCAGTGCATGAAATAAAGTCTGAATACTTCCTATTTATCATGATACAAGACCTTCACTATGACACTGTCATATATAATAATTCAACTCAGGCAGTGATATGTAGAGGTGAGCTGGTGAATTAAAAATTACCAGATGTAGATAAATTTCTATCCTAAAAGTTTTTATTTTACTGTACTCAGAAGTTATTGGTATTCTTTTAGGAAGTAATTGATACTTACTAGTATCACACTATGAAGCTTTGATGAATAAATCTGGTCCGTAGTTTTAAATGAATAAACAATTTTATTAATAGATTGTGATTTCGACAAATGAAGTATTATTTATGCAGATAGATCTGACTTGGAGCAGCTATACTCTTGTGTTTGTCCTTCCTTTCTCATGCTATCATTCATCATCTCACTATTGTGCATTTTTCCACAATTTAAGGGTCCAATATTTGTTTTCCTATGGTCTGTAGCGCTACAACACACTAGAGGTCTGTAGACAGTGGAGGATCACATTCATCTTGTGACTGAGAAAAAATTGACATTCATTGATTTAGAAGTACAAAAGAGTTTGGTTGTATTTTTATGAAGAATTACCATTTGATGTATTGCAGTTTAAATACATCACACCACGAAAGAAGAGGAATGTGTAGGCTAAGTAGGACTTGAGAATCACTTCATTTTGATGTAGTCAGGGATATATTTTTTGGCAAAAGGTCACGGTCTGTGGCAGGCAGTAGTTACAGGCATCATTTAACACGGTACTCTACAAAGTGCAGCAGAGAAGGTCTCTCGTGCAGATCAGTCTTGATTAGGTCATCATTAAAATTCCTTCTCATCATCTCTGTTTTATATCTTGCCTGCATTGAATCTATTAACTGTGTTCCCAAGGTCACTCAGGACATGCATTTACCTTGACCTTATCTTGACCTTAGAGTTTTTGGTAATATGCTATTGAGATTGTTTAGTACCATTATGCCGTGTTTTGATTTTGCTGATTTTCCCGATCGTAAATGAATGTAGACAAGACTTTCTTCTTCTGTTATGTCAGTTTGTATCTCAACTTCCTCCTAGTACGGCCTAGTGTTTTCCTTAATGTTATCCGACCCAAGTTTTTATGACAGGTTTGAGGTTATACTCGGATTGAGAAAGGATGATGTCATGAATATTCAAGAGGTGTTAAAAATGTCTTGTTCTAGTTTAGGTTTAGTTGTTATAAGACAGGCATAGTGTGACGCATATCTATGTATAAGGTGACATCAGCCCCTGACAGCTCGATCCTCCCAATGGGCATTAGACCTCTGGTCCTTCTTTGTTTACTATTTGTTAAAGGTGTATTGTTGGTCCTGTATATTAATTAAGCCGTTATACTGGAAGGAGTGCCTAAGATTCTGTCAAAGATTACACAGAATTTGTTATTTATAAAAACACTTTCATTACAGGAAACATTTAGTGGTTATATTTTGATTCTTCTTAATTTTTGCTACAGTGTTTGTTGTAATGTTTATTACATTTTGTTGGATGAATAGAACAATATCTTTACACTGCACTGTTTGATCTTGACCAAAAAGAAACATTTAGTAGCCAAAGATATTGATAGTTTTCAGAAAATATCACTAAAACTCCCTCAAAGTTAAGTTTTTCATATAAAAAAAATTACTAAAAAACTCAGCTTTAATATCTGTTGATAGTAAATACTTACAAATTATGGTACTTATATTGTGGTGCAGTTTGTAATATTAGGTTGTCATTGTCATGGATTAGGTAAGTCTACGAGAAGACTGACATAGTTAAAAAACATTTAAAAGAGGGATTTGGTGGTCAGTTGAGATTTTGGTAGTATTAACGAAAGTCTATTGAGTTAAGCCTGAAAGAATGAGGTGTCTAGAGACTTTATTTAGCTATGAAGTTTTACCATAAATCTTTTCAAAATTGTTTTATTATTTGTTGAGAACATTGTCATGATGAGGAGATATAGTGCACTTGAAATCCTATGAAATCCATGCCTGTTTGTAATTACATATCAGAGGTATGTGTGATACCTTGATAATCCAATTATCTGCTTAAAGCAGAATCTGACTTATTGATAATGTATTATGGAAGGTAGAACATTATATTGTTATCATGACAGCTATATGTTTTATCCACATTCAGATAAGAGTGCCTTAGTCATTACTAATTAAGGAGGATCGCGAGTAACAACACTTGTACACCTAGCACTTTCTTATATTCAGGTGCCATTATTGAAATCACAGCGGTTTTTTTCTGATAGAAAAACAAATTTTATCTCAAGGATTATTTTTCTAGGGGGGATGGGAAGTCTGGAAAAAATGAACGCAATGTCTTTACTATTTTTTAGAAGGAATTGAGACAGGAAATGTAAATCCTCCTACATACAAGTCGTTTATCCACCCATGTGTGATAATTCCTTACAAATCAACACATGTTCAGGGACATCATTGACATGCTCAATTTGTATCTGCCTTAAACCATCCTGCATTTAGCAGAAAATGATGATGTAGTGTAGGTCTAATAAACTCTCTGATAACGGGTACAATTTCCATTGAAATAACATTGATTTTTTAGTTGTTATCAACTATTTACGCAAATCAGAAAATTTAGTTTTCAGCCGATAGCTTAAATATTATATTAGATCTAACTTGTGACCATATTTGGTGAGTTTCCATTCTAGAAAGTTTTACCAAAGACGAGGCTGTGATGTAGATTGTAATCTGTTTATATTCTGTAGAAAATTACTCTCAAGCTGTATGGATATGGTTTCACTGGTCCACAACGAGCAACATTAAAAACATGGAAATACTAATTAGTTTGATCAACAGGATGTGTCAGTTAAATGATGATTTCATAATTCCTAAACAAAATGGAAGGGGTTTAGATTTTATCTATTAACCATAACAGATATAACTAACAGTGTATCACATTTTAATGTCATTTGGCAATATATATATATATATGTGTGTGTGTGTATACATATATAGTTTTAGATACAAATTTATTTTAATGTTAATTGTAAAAGAATACTGTGAACTTTGAAATCATCATTTAATCTGTATTGACAAGTGATCAGCTGATAGATTATAAAGACATGGACATATGTGATGGTCCAGTTTCTATCAGATACCATGGTTACAGTGTATTGTTGCCATGATTACAGTTTCCTTGGTGACTGCATGGTTTCCAAGACAACGATATCTAACTTAGTTCTCAATACTCTTATTAAGTCGCTGGATGTTCAGTGTATACTATAGGACTTGTACAAACAACAGATCTCTTATGTATTTATTATTGCCGTGTACATATGCAATGCGGTTAGACTAAAATGAGTGCCGGTTTTTAATCGCAACCTTCAAATGTGGAATATAAATAAAATTAGTTGCTGTTTTTACCTCATTTCGTGTTATGTGTTTTATATCATTTCCCATCAGGAGGAATTCCAGATAATTGGAACAGATGTATCACCAAACATCACATTGGGAAACGTAGAATTACAGAAAGAAATCTTGAATAATATATTATATTTTGTTTTTATTTTCTGTTTCAAATTAATTGTTTATCGAAATTTACCTATAAACTCATGAATAATAGTTAACATGTTTAACTGGTTTGTTATATTTGTAACAAATATATTGAATTAATTTTAAATGTGATGAAATATAAGTGGTTTGAAGTAAGCAAATGTATGAACCTTTGGTATTGACACACCTCTGATATCCAACTGTCAGTTTCTTGCAATTTTTGTTATTGGGTGGAGTTTGGTTCAAATAAACAGGAGTATTTTGACTTAGGGACTAGCATCGTCCAATTTATTTATATATCTATAAAACATCCTCTCAATTTCAATCAATATGAAGATTTATCCTTGTATGGGTGTCTATATTTACTCAAGTTTGTACAGAGTGCCAATTATATTCAAAACTTCAGTGGTGAATGAAATAAAAAGTAAAACCTGCAAAAGTGAATTAATAGATAAGATACAATCTGGAAATAATATTGATTGTAATTGTAATTCTAAACAAATATAAATAACTACATGAGAAGGATTCACACCGATGGAAGAGAGACTTCAAAGGGGGGTAGAAAACCCTTATAAAAACCAAAACCAAAGAAATAATCAACAGCCACTACTAAACGGAAAACATTCAAACCAATTCATGTGTAATTGAGTGACAAAGTCACTTAGACAACAACGACAAAAGGAGTCGATAAATTGACACAAAGCCGAGAAACTTACAGAAGTCATGGACACAACAAACCTACAGAAGTCATGGACACAACAGACCTACAGAAGTCATGGACACAACAGACCTACAGAAGTCATGGACACAACAGGCTTACAGAAGTCATGGACACAACAAACCTACAGAAGTCATGGACACACAGACCTACAGAAGTCATGGACACAACAGGCTTACAGAAGCCACGGACACAGCAAACTTACAGAAGTCATGGACACAACAGGCTTACAGAAATCATGGACACAACAAACTTAAAGTCATGGACACAATAAACCTACAGAAGTCATGGACACAAGAAGACAATGCCAACAACTGAACAGAGGGTAAGGCCCGATATTCCCACAGAAATCAGGGACACAATACATCCACGGGAATCGTTGACACCACTCTAGCAAACGTCATGAACTAGAGAAATCATCAGTATATCAAACAATAGGAAATATGACAACAAATTCACATCAGGCATGGCCACAACCAGATCGGAAATTCCGCATTCATCCAACGATGAAATAGGTGAAAACAAACCATCAGATATCAGAAAGCCGTGAAGACCTCAGATCATTAAATCATTTTAACCATAACCAAACACTACACGACCATTCAGTAAGGTACACTTCACATAGCGGCTAGACGTTAAGAAAATATGATAAAAAGATCAAAACGAATTGGATCAATTTCATGATACGCAGGACAGATAGTAATTAAGTGAAACCATATCGAACTGCTATTTGTGATGTTTCATACATAGGACCTATCCGCGATTATCACTGAACTTATACCATAGAGCTTTGAGAGGTACAGGATTTAGGGGACTGATGTATTCTGTGTGTTGGATATTAACTTGTACGCATTGTGGACTTCTCGGGAATACCAAGGGTTACAACCACTGTCACTCTCGTTTGAGTATCTGATTTCTATGCAATCTCTCTTTCGTTATTTTTTGTCATTTCGTTAACATTCCGGTTTTCTCTTGTCTTTATGTCAGTTTTTATTGGGGGTTTGTCGGAAACAGCCGATCCCAGAGTGTTAGTCGGAAACAGCCGAGTGTCACACGTGGACATGCTTCTTAAACAAGGTCTTTATGTGTATGTAATTGACTCAGACAGAAATTCCCACATGGCTTAGGATTGTCATCTTACGATTTGCCATCGATCGGATATGATCCCCAGCAACACTGGTTGTTCTGCCATCTGTTGAAGCATTTTTTATGAAGTTAAACAAAAGAAGTCTTTGGGAAATATGTACAATGGTAAACACAGATATTGCAGTAAATATATGACAATTTGACAATAAGTGGTGTATTGGGAAGTTACGTACAAATATATTACAAAATATGTCATATCGCCTTGAACATTTTAAAAGATGCAACTTAATCTTCAAGCAAATCTTTGCTTTTGTGTATACCTATTTGTCATTCGTTTGATTTAATATTTAGAATGGTTCGAGTTATTCTTGAGTAAATATAATTGTGTGAAATGCAGAGGAATTTTAGTGTACCAGAAAAAAAATTGTCAAGATTTCTGTAAGATGTGAGAGAAGACACCGAATCAAAAATATAAAAACAGCCACCGCGGTTATATTGGTAGCTCGTACCCTAGAGGGGAAACTATTTCGTCAGAATTCTCCTTTTTCAACCGCTTTGTCAAATTCAGTCTTAACAAAAAGTGTTCTCGTTGACGTTACATTTAATAAAACTATTCCCAAAAGGAACATCGCTTGGCCTTATACTGAAGTTGACTGAACATAATTTCAGAGCTATCATAAAAGAACATAATTATGTACTTGTTACCTAAAGGTCATGCAGAGTTCCAGTTACACAGCATCATGATGACACGAGCTTCAATCGGTTCCTCGTTACGAAACATTTGTATGTGTTTCCTGTAATTTGGAGTCTGCACCTTGTCGGTGTTGTGACAGTGAGATGACACTATAAAAAAACCATTGAGTAGCCAATCATACGTTCAAAAATCTTGTGTATGCTAAGGCGGAAAAATCGAATTAACCATCTTCCTTTATTATGAAAAAAAACTGCTTTTCACTGATGGTGACAGTAGTTCATTGTTTGTGAAATCAACTTCTGATGTAGACATCCTCTATAGTTACTATTAATCAAGCGCTCTCTGTATAGGCCTTACACAAAATATTCACATCTGAAGCAAACTCTATATAGTGTGCGGTATGAGTACAGCGTCCTCTCTTACGACCGACGCATACTTTTACTTCTGAATGTCGTAGTCTACTCTTACTGCTGTTGTCTACTCTTACTTCTAAAGTGTCCTCTGTTACGGCCGTACTCAACTCTTACTTCTGAAGTAAGTGACCTCTGTAGTGGCCGTAGTCTACTCTTACTTCTGTTGCCTACTCTTACTTCTGTAGTAAGCGTCCTCTGTTATGGCCGTAGTCAACTCTTACTTCTGAAGTAAGTGTCCTCTGTAGCGGCCGTAGTCTACTTTTACTTCTGAAGTAAGTGTCCTCTGTTATGGCCGTAGTCTACTCTTACTTCTGAAGTAAGTGTCCTCTGTTACGGCCGTAGTCTACTCTTACTTCTGAAGTAAGCGTCCTCTGTTATGGCCGTAGTCTACTCTTACTTCTGAAGTAAGCGTCCTCTGTTATGGCCGTAGTCTACTCTTACTTCTGAAGTAAGCGTCCTCTGTAGCGGCCGTAGTCTACTCTTACTTCTGAAGTAAGTGTCCTCTGTAGTGGCCGTAGTCTACTCTTACTTCTGAAGTAAGTGTCCTCTGTTATGGCCGTAGTCTACTCTTACTTCTGAAGTAAGTGTCCTCTGTAGTGGCCGTAGTCTACTCTTACTTCTGAAGTAAGTGTCCTCTGTAGCGGCCTTAGTCTACTCTTACTTCTGAAGTAAGTGTCCTCTGTAGCGGCCGTAGTCTACTCTTACTTCTGAAGTAAGCGTCCTCTGTTATGGCCGCAGTCTACTCTTACTTCTGAAGTAAGCGTCCTCTGTTATGACCGTAGTCTATTCTTACTTCTGAAGTAAGTGTCCTCTGTATTGGGCGTAGTCTACTCTTACTTCTGAAGTAAGTGTCCTCTGTTATGGCCGTAGTCTACTCTTACTTCTGAAGTAAGTGTCCTCTGTTATGGCCGTAGTCTACTCTTACTTCTGAAGTAAGCGTCCTCTGTTATGGCCGAAGTCTACTATTACTTCTGAAGTAAGTGTCTTGTTATGAAGTAAGTGTAAGTCTCTGTAGCGGCCGTAGTCTACTCTTACTTCTGAAGTAAGTGTCCTCTGTTATGGCCGTAGTCTACTCTTACTTCTGAAGTAAGTGTCCTCTGTTATGACCGTAGTCTACTCTTACTTCTGAAGTAAGTGTCCTCTGTTACGGCCGTAGTCTACTCTTACTTCTGAAGTAAGCGTCCTCTGTTATGGCCGTAGTCTACTCTTACTTCTGAAGTAAGCGTCCTCTGTTATGGCCGTAGTCTACTCTTACTTCTGAAGTAAGTGTCCTCTGTAGCGGCCGTAGTCTACTCTTACTTCTGAAGTAAGTGTCCTCTGTTATGGCCGTAGTCTACTCTTACTTCTGAAGTAAGCGTCCTCTGTTATGACCGTAGTCTACTCTTACTTCTGAAGTAAGCGTCCTCTGTTATGGCCGTAGTCTACTCTTACTTCTGAAGTAAGCGTCCTCTGTAAGGGCCGTAGTCTACTCTTACTTCTGAAGTAAGCGTCCTCTGTTATGGCCGTAGTCTACTCTTACTTCTGAAGTAAGCGTCCTCTGTTATGGCCGTAGTCTACTCTTACTTCTGAAGTAAGTGTCCTCTGTTATGACCGTAGTCTACTCTTACTTCTGAAGTAAGTGTCCTCTGTAGCGGCCGTAGTCTACTCTTACTTCTGAAGTAAGCGTCCTCTGTTATGGCCGTAGTCTACTCTTACTTCTGAAGTAAGCGTCCTCTGTTATGGCCGTAGTCTACTCTTACTTCTGAATTAAGCGTCCTCTGTTATGGCCGTAGTCTACTCTTACTTCTGAAGTAAGTCTCCTCTGTAGCGGCCGTAGTCTACTCTTACTTCTGAAGTAAGTGTCCTCTGTTATGGCCGCAGTCTACTCTTACTTCTGAAGTAAGCGTCCTCTGTTATGGCCGTAGTCTACTCTTACTTCTGAAGTAAGCATCCTCTGTTATGGCCGTAGTCTACTCTTACTTCTG